AAAAATGGGGTACATTTAGCATTTGGGTTGTCACCTTGAGCATGCACATATTGTATGGTTAATTTTTTATATTTAGATCAAAGTTCAGAGTTTTTTCCCGGAATAATGCCAATTAAACAAATAATTCTCAAAATACTGTTAGGTTAAATATAATTCCTAAAATACTGTTGGGTTAACCGTAGTTAAGAAAAGCCGTCACTTGAAGTGGCGGCTCTTCTCTTACAGCACATGTTGTACATATATAAAACACAGTATGTTTCAAGAATTTGTTTAACCGCCTTCCTGATTGAATTTTCAGCTGAAATTTGGTATGCATAAACTAGACTTGATGAAAAACATGCTCAACATTTCATCAAAAATTTCCACTAGGAAGACACTCTGATGGTGCTGTCCGCACGGGGTTCCGGTCAGGACGTCCTGACAGGAACGTGACACACACACCCACACCCACCCACCCACCCACCCACCCTGTGACACCGCTCCCAATTTGAACTTGAATTAATTAATCCATTAATAATAAAATTTAATAGAAAGTACAAATACCAATGTCGATGAGGATGACTAGTTGAGTTCGTGAATATTTATTCACTTTGAAAACTAGTTATAAGTATATTAACCATACTAGAAATGTTTAATTAATTTAAGTAAGTTCCAATTAATTATATTGTGTGTCGGACCCTAAATATTGGGAGGGACAAACTAATATATTCTTGGACCCCGGTGAATTAAATAAAAGCCCAAGAATAAGGAAATGAATGATTTATGAATGTTTGGGCCGGATAAAAGGTAAAGAAATCATATAAGAGACTTTTCGAGCCACTTTCTAATAATAGAAATGTAAAAGGGCTTAAGCCCGGAATATTGGAGAGGAATATCTAATACATTTTAGGATCGACCTATTGAGGTCTACTAGCCTAAAATAATACAAGTGAAAGAATAAAAGTCATTCGGGTCGGAGTAAATTAAAAGGAGCAGCCCACGAACCCAACCACCCTAAAATGGCCCAACTTTCTAAAAATAGATAAGATAAAAGAGAGAGTCTCATCCTCTCCTCTCATTTTAATCCATACGTATGGGAGAGGGGTCTTGAGAGCTCTAGGAACACACAACAAAAGCTCAGAGAGAAAGGAGGTCAAGAAGAGAAGTGATTCTTATAGAAAACGAAGCCTAGCGGTAAGAATCTCGTAGCTCTTGTTCTTGTTCTTCCGTTTAATATGTTTTTCGTATATGATTTTATAGAAAACATATGATGAATTCTAGGGAATGTTCTACACGTTTAAATGTGTAGAAATGTGATATAAAGTGTTGGTATTTAACTTAGAAGAGTTGTTGAATCGATAAGAATCGAAATCGCCAGAAACCGCCATTGCTAGGAGGCTGTTTTTGTGTTGCAGGGCTCGAAAGCCGGGCAGCTTTTGCCCATTGCCAGCCAATCTTGTTTCGGATCATTCCCGATCGAAGGTTTAACGATGAGGCTTCAATAGGAAGGCTTGCTGGACATATTTAAGGTGAGGATGACTGACTATATTATTTATAATTTGTGGGTTGAGCATGAGATTACCTAAGTAATCAAAATATGATTTTGATGATATTAAATGATATAGTTGAATGTGAAAATGTGTGATTGCTATGTGGTCATGGTAATTGAGATCCTTACTCTTCGGAACTCCCACTTGTGGTGACGCTAGTCGTTTCCTCCATCAAGTGGTGTGGCGGTGCTATGTTTAGTTCTTGAATTCGTTGCAGGAATTCAACCAATCGTGGAAACACATGACTCATGAGCGACTCCAGAGATTGTACGCTCAACCTTGTTTTATAATCTGTTAGTTCGCTGTTGGCTTCACTAAACTCTTGTTCTATGGAAACTGTTGAAACCGGCATGGACATGACTTGTTTGACCATTGTTTTTTTGGAAGAGGGGGACTTACATTGATATCACAACATTAACATTCAAAAAGGGGTTAAAACGATATAAGGACCACAGGCAACCGTCAGTCCTCGAACCAGATTTAGAGTCAATCACCTTCAGAGAAGCAATATAACTCGCTGATCCTATAGTTGGCTTACATGAGCCAAAGACACTTAAAGCAGACCTCCCATCATTCAATCCTAATGCAAGAATCTCACAATAATAAAAGTAACCAACATAAAATAAACAGTGTGATCATGAAAAATATATCGCAAGCAAACAGTAAAATTAAAAAGATGCTTCCAAACCCTAGACTCTCCTGCACTCCATGACGACTGTTTAGGAGAGAGATGATTCAGCAGCATTGTAGCTTCTTCCTCACCTTGCCTCTTATTCATCATGATCTTTATCTACCAAGCTTCCTCTGTCGCCACCTACCACAGATGACCTCGAATCCAGATCGGATCTAGTATCTAGCCCCATGCTTCGTCCATGACCTTTGGCCGTAGGAGACCAAGCATCCATCTTCCGTCCTTGCACAACCTTCGGCCGCAAGAGGCCAAGCATCACCCGCCCCCCGCTTAATCTCGCCAAGCAAAGAAGAAAAAAGCCGCACAATTGATGGCGGAAGAAGAAATCATGTATGCCTAAGCCCGCCTGTGGCGGCCACCCCTCATTACAAATGATAGCGGAGAAAAAACCGTAGTGGTGGAAACCCACCCTAGAGAGAGAAAGGAACACACGACACTTGTTTGACCATTGTTGATAAAATCGGAGACATTGATTCTTTTCCCTTCCACCATTAACAATGTCAAATTCTTTTTTTTTTACTCTTGGGGGTCTGGGGGAGGAGGCCTGGGGGGGGGGGGGGGGCTAGAGTAATCAGGGTTGAAACTCACTCCATTGAGTTTCAAACCCTTATGTGCCTAGCGGGTTTTGAACTCGAGATCTCCCACTATGCACGGTAACCTCCCATTGAATGTCAAATTCTTCTACTTCTTCATACTCACACGGAATCGTTACATACAAAGAAATCTCGTTAATCGAGCTTTGTTAAACGGTAGGAGTGGAATTAATATTTTCAAAAGATTTAATATTGTTGATTTAGAAAGACTCTTTCCTTTAGACGAAGAAACAAGTGGTTTTCGTGAGAGACCGATGTACGTTAGCGTGAAACTCATTTAAAGTATGTGGTTAATATTAAAATGTAACTAATATGATATTAAGACTAATATTGAGATAATAAAATGTGAGTATCTAATTGGTATAATATGTACGTTAAAATTGTGACTAATAAAATATTAAGATAAAAATGTTAATATCTAATAGTATACTTAATGTATACTTCGTATAATAAATTGTTAATAGTATATAATGTACTACATATAATTATACTACTATGAGATGAGTAGTATAATTATATTTAGTACTGTAATACATATATTTAATACACACACATATGTATAAATTATTTAATTATATTTAAGTAGATACGAGTAGTATAAATATATTTAATACTTTAATTAGTATACTTAATATATATAATCAAATGTTACTAGTATATTACCTCCATTCTTTCTAATTGAAACATTTTGATTTTCACGTTTGTCAACAAATAACTTTGACTGTAATTATATTTAATTACATATTACTCCGTAATAACCATCATAAAAAATAATATTTTGGAAATTCACATTAATATAAATTTAATAACATTTCATATATAATAACTTTATGATATAGCCTGTATATGGTATTAAATTTCTAACTAAAGGTTTATTGAGCAGACGGAGCCTAGGGTTAGGCGTAGAGCTTGAACGGTCTTTGGTAGAGGAGACGGTTTGGACGGTGGCGTTACTTGGCCGTCGTGAGGATTGGAGCGGCGACTACGTCTAAGGCAAGGGTTAGGCTTATGCTTTGACAGATTGGGGTGGTGACGAAGTGTTGCGGACGTTTGAGTGAAGGGAGCATCCCTCCTTGGGCGAAGGTGGTTGTGGGTAATTGTCTTCTGGGCAGACCTTTGGTTTGGAGATGGGGGGGGGGGGGGGACTATGAGCACAACGAGGTGGAGAAGTTGGCCCGAACGTACGACAATATGGAGATGAACGAAGAAGATGAGACTATATTGTTGGAAGCCATGAATTCGGGTGTAGAGGATGGGAGTATAGAGAGTGTCGGCACCATCACATCGGAGAAGTCAGGTATGGCCGGTGGGAAAACAGTGTTCCCAACAAGTAGACGATTGATAACGGACGATAATTTTGGTGAAGCACAGAGTTCGGTCGGTGGTGAAGTATCAATCACAGCGATCGTGATAGATCGGTCTCGTCCTGAACCACCGCCATGTAATGAAAGAAGTAGAGTTGTGGCTGTTCGTGGAAGGCCTCAATTTGAAGGAATCAAGAATAAAGGAGCTTGGCAAGTAGTGGCACGCACGTCTAGTTTGCATTTTATTAATTTTATCTTCCAATTTGCCTTTTATGTTGGATTCTTTGTGGATTATGTGTGTTACATGTCTATAGTGGGTAGGTTTTTTATGCTTAGAAGTAAGAAGACTTCAAAAGCCGAGTTAATAATCAAATCTCTCGCAAGGTTAGCGACTCGATCTTCTCTAGTTAGGATGGTCGTTTCTATGTCTAATCAGAGGATGAGGGGACCTTCAGGTTATGGTCAGACTGGTAGCAGGATTCTTGTTAGTATTGGAAAGTTTGTAATGTCGTTGATTTTTTGGATTTAATATAGATAATTTCCTTTCAAGAAATGAAAAATAATAATAATTTGATGATATATATTAGTAGATAATCATGCCCAAAATCAAATGTATAATCCATGCAAAACGGAAAATTTAAAATAATAATCATAACTAGTGTCAGTCCGCTCACAATAATCACAATTATTGATTATATCTGTATAATCCCAACTATATGGATCGTCTCCTATAGTAAGTTAATTTTAAATAGAAATAAACATATTCTATAAATAATCCTAACTATGTGTTTAAATTTCAAAATGAAAGATTAAATAAATCTAAAAACGTATTAACAACAACAACGACATCCAAGATTCCAAGTCTTAATCCCAAAAGAATTTGGGATGACTAACATGAATCGATCTATGATATCGATGTCAAACAGAGAAGACAGACAAAAAGGGAAGAAGAAAAAAAAGAAGTAAGATAAAACAGATAAAATAAAGATAAATAAATATAAGATAACAATAACATAAGAATATCAGAAAGATAAAAGATAAAAAGATAAGCACAAAAAAGCTAGCAAATAAAAATAATACTCCCTCCGTCCTGCTAACAATGGGACAAGAGGGAGTGACACGCAAATTAATAAAATGTGGTTTATGTGGTTGATATTGAATTGATAAAGTAAGAATGATTTAGAGCCACACAAATTTTACCAAAATTGGTATGAGACAATCTTAGTGGGACGGAATGATAAGGTAAAATGGGACAATCATAGCGGAATATAAAAAGATAAACAAGATAAACAATAAAAGAAAAGAGAGAGGAAAGGTAGAAAAGACATCAGTTGTCCACACGGATGTGCACCTTCCGCTTTGCTCTCTCCGAAGCCATACTCTCGTCCAACCCAAGAAGACGCATATCAGTTATGATTCCTCTAATCCAAGCTTGTTTGGGTCTTCCATCCCTCTCTTCCCTGCCTCTTCTCCCCACCTCTCAAGTCGTCTAATAGGTGCATCACTCGATCTTCTACGCACATGTCCAAACCACCGCAAATGAGACTCCTGCATCTTATCTTCTATATATGTGCTACTCCAACCTTTTGTCTGATTATCCCATTTGTCAAGCGGTCTTTTCTGGTATGTCCGCATATCCAACGCAACATACGCATCTCTGCCACACTCATCTTTTGTATGTGACATTGTTTCACCATCCAACACTCTACCTCATACATTAATGCGGGCCTAATTGATGTTCGATAAAATTTACCTTTCAGTCTAGTCGGCATACCCCGATCACATAGAAATCCCGATGCACTCTTCCATTTCATCCACCCAACTCTAATTCTATGGCATACATCTTCATCTAATTCACCATCCTTTTGAATTATGGAGCCCAAATAACGGAACATATCACACACCGATATCTCCTTACCATCAAGAGTAATCCCACTGTTGCTACTACTTCTACCTCCACCAAACTTGCACTCCATATACTCAGTCTTGCTTTGGCTCAGTCTGAAACATTTATTCAAACATAAAAAATTACTCCCTCATGTTCTGAAAGATCTTTACACTTTCCATTTTTTGAAGTACCAGAAAGATCTTTACACTTCTTATTTGCCTTACAAATCTACACAAAACAGTGCCAAACCGTGTCAAACAGTGTCAAACTCCTTAATATTTGTGAAGACAGAGTGTAAAGATCTTTCAGAACCGGAGGGAGTACATTTTAATTTTATTTTCAGAAAAATATAAATAGTTGTTTTTGGGTTCTATTACAAATTTATGTTTTTTTAACTAATTTTAAAATGATTTAATTTTAGGATGATTAGCTTTTAAATTTTTTAATATTTACAAAAAAGTATTACTATTTTTTATGTTTTTCACTTTCTTAATCTTAAAAATCAAGGTTTTCATTTTTGGAATTTGAATTTGTACTTAATTTGCAATTTCATTTTTCCTGTAAGGTTTTTATATTGATCTTTTTACTCTATTTATTTATATATTTTATATTCTTTATATATCTATAATATCTTACATACTTCGTATTATAAAATATTAATTTTGAAATTTATAATAATTTCTCCATATTCTATAGTTATATATTTCATATTCTTTAATTCCATAAACTGCCTAAAAAGTTAATTTATTAAAAATAAATATTTATTACTCCCTTCATATTTAAAAGATCAATACATTAGATCTTCACACATATATTTTAGCGGGAAATAGTAGGGGAAATGAATAGCATAGAAAAAATAGGAGAGAAGGTGAATAAGTAGAAAAAAGAAGATAAAAAAGTAGAAAAAATAAGGGAATTGATATTTTTAAAAGAAAAAATTGCCAAAAAAGAAAAATGTAGTAAACTTTTAAATACGGAGAGAGTATCTTTTTTACCACTTGTATTTATTTATGGAATTTTAATTTAATCTTTTAGGTCTAATAAAAGTAAAGAAATGATAGTTTGAAACTTTGAATTATTATAATATGATTTTTCTTTATTAATCTTTTTACTATTATTGGCGGAAGATCCCTAAAGTTGAGAATATTATGAAATACGGAGTAACTAATAGCTGGGATTATTATGAACAGACCGCTAATAATTGGGATTACTATAAAATTTACCTTTTAAAAATATTAGGGGTGGGAAAACCCGAACCGAAACCCGGAAACCGGCCCTGGCCCGAATTATGATATCGGTCCGGGTTTTTTCTTTTTGACCGGACCGAACAAAAAAAAACCAGACTGAACCCGAAGTTTCGGGCTCTTTAACGGGCCCTAAAATCTATAACCCGGCCCGGACCGATAAAACCCGAAACAATTAGCCTTAATATAAAATCAATATAATATACCAATATAATTTATAAATTAATTCCTAATATATGATTATAATCATGATGGATGAACAAATGACTTAATAATTTTTAATGACTACAAATATATTCAATTTATTTACCGTAATGACCATGAAAACATATTTATAGTAACTTTAGTCACATTTTTATCCTTTATTTTTATTTCATAACATTTTTAGAACACCTATATTACTTATTTTTATGCATCTTAAACAAAATATTATGATTATAAAATCTATTTTTATTAATTTTATTTGCGGTTTGTACTTGTTATTAATTTTATTTGAAAATAGATTATAAAATATAAAAGAAAAATGAGTGATTTCACATTCGGGTTTTAACCGACCCAACCCGAACCCGGACCGAACCCGGGCTACAAAAAACCCAACTCGGACCGAATATAGTGGGCTTTTTTCGGTCCCTAATTTTCATAACCCGGTGCGTTACGGGTAATTTCCAGGTTTAGCAAAAACCCGACCCGGACCGATCCCACCCCTAAAAAATATTACACAAACAATTAGTCATTCCTGGCAAAAGTTAACTCACTTCCGTTTCCATATAACGCATTGTTCATCAAATAGTGGTACATTTTGTAAAGCTCAAAGAGTCAAAGACCAATGTTACTTGAACTGATTGTTTAGAAGAGTAAAAAGGATCACTGAACTACACTCAAGATACTACGGAGCACAATATACTCCGTAGTAGGCATCATCGACGTTACCACTTCATTGGTGCCAATGAGTGTTGCACCAGTGGGTTGAGTTTGGCCCTCGATATATCATATACTACGTATTAATATGTGACCGCGTGACACGAACCAATGATTCGAATATCACTCAGACACTGCACAACTGGTTAGCATCGGCCAAACTGATGTAATAATAGAAATGGCGACCACAAAACGGTAGTTTCTCAAAATGGAAAAGGTGCTTCCTAATGCGGTAAATGTGTGTGCTGTACAAAACGGCTGCCAGAGTCACCAACATGAAGGATACCAATATCAACTCCCAGAAATCCTAAACAAAATGCAATGTTTGTAAACAATTAGTCAATTAAATTCTTCCACTTTCAACAATACAATAGAGTGACTCAGTTTTCAGATATAACAGAAAATGAAAGGCATAATTTCTCGATAAATGCATTGCGATAAAAATGCTAAGAGACAGTGAGACCCTTGGCAAGAAAGACAAAAACCATGATGTTTCTCCACTTGGGAGCTGTGTATTCAGATTTCAGATTGAAGTCACTCAATTGGACCACAGATCGTGTTAACAGAATAGGGTGATTGCAGTTGTAAGAGCCCCCCAATTGCATATTTTTCATGTCTCATTTGGTTCTGTTTTATTTTCTACTTCAATGGTAAAACCCAAGTATTTGGACCATTTTCAAGCCAGACACAAAAAACTCAACCGATTTGAAATAGTGAAGATGGCTTACCTGAGGATCTGATACAACAATGCTCACTAGATAAGTCATCAAATCAAATAGGGATTGCAGTGAGTTTTGAACCCCTCCAACCACAAAACGATCATTTTCCGCAACGTGATCCTATTCAAGCAGCACAACAATGGCTTTTAGGTCTAGATTTAAACCATTTGGGACAAAATGGAATTACACCGAGTCACTATATTAGGGCATTTAGGCATTATATGAGAAACCGATAATTTGATAATCCTCTTTGGTATGTCTTATATTGTGAGAATGGACAATGTTAATTGGGTTGGATAAGATTCTAGCGACATAATTGACCCAAGTTGACCTGTAAATAGATTTAAAACCTTCGGGAGTTTGGGGAGCAACACAAAATTACACCAAGATCAGGGGCATTAAATATGAAGCTGATCATATACTCCTATTTATTATGTCCCACATTGAGTATGGAGAGTGTTAAAATTGATTTAGATAAAATGTTAGCTACAGAGTTGACCCAATTTGACCACACAATCATCAGGGCCTCAGGGGTATCAAATGTGAAATGAAATTGATGACTTAGTCCCATCACTGAATAGGCAACAATCACGACGCTCTCAATTATATTTAACATGATATATATCACACTTACCTGCATTTGTTGAATGACTGACAAATCAAACATCCAAAGCCCTAGGCGTGACACAGCCACTCCGGTCATAAGCATATATGCCGATAAGAGTTTCTTATTTACCCATATGGAAGCTACACATACAAAGAGGCAGCTCCACTATACCCAAGAAAATCATCAAAGCGATTACTCGTCATTAATTCACAAATTCTCTGACAAGAAGATCAGCAAAGAGAGTACCTGAGACCATATTGACCATAACCCTGTTCGAATGGTTGAAATCTGAGATTGCAAGAAAGGGTACAAAAACGTAGCAGCAATCCCTATTGCTGCAGTTACACCACGTGCAATTCCAATAATATATGCAGGAATGCCTTCCCATTCAAGTGTAGCAGTCATTAAAGTTCCAAAGCTAATTCAAACGTCAAAAGCTAAATTATTTAACCACACGTCCACATCATTCTTTGACTAAAGACAGTATACACATAACTGATAACAGAAATGTTGTTAAAAATAATTTTATTTCAATTTTAGTCCTTTAACTAGAAGTTCTCAGACTATTATGACAATGACACTTTTGGTCCTCCATCTATTTTCATAGTGACATATCTGGTCTTCCTCCTATTGTGGAAAAATTCAAAGATGAGCACTAAATGTGTCACTTCCACAATAGTCACAACTAAAAGTGGAAAATCTCAAAGATGGAATAAAAAATGCAGTCACAGACAGACAGACTCAGAGTAATTGAAGGACTAACATTGAAAATATCATAAGGCGGGGTGACAAAAGTATCATGGACAGAATAGTAGGAAAACTAAAAGTGGAAAAAACTCTTATTAAAAACTTACCTGAGTACCGTGAAATAGAGAAGCGCTAGGGCTAACCCTGGGAGAAGTACATCTTGCTGCAAGTAGACTCTCCAAGCATTGATATAAGGGATTGTTGAAACTTGATCAATCATTTTTATCCACCAGCTGCTTTTAGATGTCTGCTGTGCATTTCTTTCTACATTAAGCAAACCTTCATGTTCATGATAAGCAGAAGATTTAAGTTCAACATTGTTTGGTAAAGATCTTAAGACTCTTCTCTGGCTGCTTTCTTTTAATACTGGAATCCCATTGTATACGGATGTTAGGAGGCAGTATTCTAGGCAAACCGATACTAAGTTCCATAATGCGAGAACCATAGCTGATGCAGTTAGAGAGATGAAGCTTATGATGGATCCTGAAATGACAGGAGCAAATAACTTGCAAATTAAATCGATTCGTCGTATTGTTGAGTTCATGTTCGTCAGCATTTCAGGAGGATGGCCTTCTGATATCACCACCACCCTGCAAAAAGAGGCACCAACGTCTAAACTTTCTCATGCGTTGAACTCTTGAAGACCACATTCATTGAGGCCACTCTGGGTGATGTGCTGTGAGAAAAGATAATTGAAGATTTATTGTGCACTGTAGTTGAGTTTAGTTACAACTATGGTGCGGTAGAATTTGCCCTATGTGGCAGAATTGGCAATATGGTGCGAATGAGAAGTTACACCTGATGACGGTGACCCGCACCACCACTGCAAGTGCCACATAGAAATGACTAACTAATAATAACTTATATGCATTTCCAAATATTAAGATCACCTCAGCTTTCTTTCTTATTTACTTACATATTCTTATTTTAATAAGATCAGACCAGAAATACTCTATATCTGAAAAGACAAAGACCATAAAGATTTAGACCAAATCCAGACCAGATATATTCAAACCACACCAATCAGAACTTAAGAAGTTCAGATCACATGATAATTTTTAAACGAAGAGAAAATGTCCGTGAAAAGTCAAGAGTAGAAAATGTATCTTAGAAAGGATATTATTGTATAGATTGTTATCTGGAGCAATGCCAACAAAGAGATTGCTATTAGCCGAGTGATTAACCATTCTCTTTCAATCAATATGGTCCCTGCCATAGTGGAAAGCATAGCAACAGCTCCAGAGATGTTGATCAATATAACAAGTAACAAAAATGCCATAGAGTTGATTGAGTGAGCCAAAAGAGCAACCATTGCACTCCCAGCAACAGTAAATGCAATGCTTTTACTTATTAACCATAATTTGAGAACCTGAAAATACAAAATCGGAATGCAAACCAATTAATAAGACAACACACCCGAAGAAAGTTAGAATAGAAAATTGAGTGAAGACCTTAGTGTATGACAAACTATCCACCAATTGTCCAACAACTGGTCCGAGCAATGCCGTGGAAGCTGTCTCCACAACACCATAAACAGCAGCAAGAAGTAAAGAATTGGGCCAAAGATGGATCATATACAAACCCACAGAGAACTCCCACATTCTGCAATGGGGAAAACATGTGTCAATATTTCTCAAATCTACCACAAACTCAAACCTTTGTACTTCAATCATATAGCAAGGGTAATATTGTAGAATTATTAGCAGTTCAATTTACCTTTATTAATTACAAAATCTTGGTTTTCATTTAGTATCTATACATATCTAGACTCTAAAGTTCTAATACCATCATCATCACCATCATTAATTCAATCTCAACTATGTATGGCGGGTACCATGAAAGTTACTGGTGTCAATTATTCAGTGGCGGAGACAGGGTTGTATGGTTAGGGGTGGACCTTATAATTTTATACTACAAGGGCCAAAGCTTAAAGTTTTAACATATTTTTCGCATATTATATTTTTCTTGGTGGGGTGGACATGTCCACCAGCCCCTCCCTGTCTCCGCAACTGCAATTATTTATCCCACTCTAGTTTTACACTAGAAATAAATTAAAGCGTTATGACAAGTTATATGCTTGATGATGCCCTTTCGGGTACATCCTTCATAAGAATGATGGGAATCATGGGATGATATTCCAGTTACATGAAAAATATCATCAGAGGGAGATTGCTTGATATGGTTTTTATATATTATGACTTTAGTTTCCATCTTAAGTAAAAAGAAAAAGATGGGAGAGATGGGTACTATTTATATGTAATCATTGTACCCAATAAATTAACTTTACCTAAATCTATTCATGCATCCCCCATATTTTAGTAGTTCTAGTCATCCATAGATATTCAAGTTTAGTATAGTATGCATTTTGAAGATAGTTCCTAGATATTCTGCTCTACTTCACTCATCTTGGTAATTTATGTGCTTAAAACTATTCATTCATCCAGTACTAAATTCATTTTATACTTAATTTTATACTTAATTCTGTTTCTTCCCCCCCCCCCCCCCCCCCCCCCCCCCCCTAAAGAGTTAGAAAACGAACACGAAGAAGAAAGTATTACTGTATACTATACTGAACCAAGTACCATTAAAATACAGAAATAGAGAAAGAGAGAAATAACCTGGAAGTCCATCTGGAAAGGAAGTGTCCAAGGTATAGATAGAAGAGCAAAGATGATGGAAATGAGGGCTGTTGATTTTCTAGACGAAGCACTCCACTTCTCATAATGCTTCTCCTTCACTTCTTGTTCTGCTACGGCTTTTGAGAAAAGTTCATAGCTTTCAGCTTTTTATTCCCTTTCTGTCGATTGAACACCTACTAGAATCCAACGACTGATTGAATTACATCTGATTCCTCCTCAATTTCTTCATTAAGATATGAATTTCTATGGACTATAAATGTCTGTAATACACTTACATAATAAAAATCTTAAATTATCCACAATAAAAAATCCATGCGGATGCAATTTTTACCCTTGCTGGAGTTTTGAAATAATCGACTAGTATAATAGGGTCAGTTGGTCCCATTTTAGTTATCTAAATATCTAAATAAGTGTCACATTTCCCTTTTTGGAAAGAAATGTGTTTCATAACATTTTATTTTTTTATACTCAAATCGTAAACACAACTTTTACCTTTTCAATCACTTTATTAAAAATTATGCCAAAATCAAATGGGACACATAAAATGGGACAAATGTAGTATCTTTCATTTTTTTTACTAAAAAAATTAAAAAATTCAGATTTTAAAATTTTTAAACGAGAGTAATTAAAATTATTTTTCAGAAATCTATTTTACTCTCTTCGTCCCTTATAACTTTGCCAACTTTTCTTTTTTTATTGTCCCCAAAACTTTGTCACTTTCCTTTTTAATCAATCAATTTGTGGCTTCTGTTGTCTCTTTCCTCTGAACAATTCTCTATCACACAGTTTTTACTTTATTATTCTACGTGCCGGTCAAACTTGACAATCTTTTTAGGGATGGAGGAAGTATAATATATTAATGGATCAAATGTAGTTAAAGTAGAGTATGTAAATACTGCACTAATGTTGCAACTCAAAAAGAATAAAGGTAGTATTATACTCTATATAGATGTATCAAGAATTCAAGATATGGAATACCCCGTAAATGTTAGAGAAATAGAAATCAATCAACATTTAAAGTTGCAAGAAATTATTATTTATATACGGAGTAAAAGAATAGAATGAAAAAATTAAACACTTCAAAAAATATCAATTTTATCAACCGTCCAACCGACAAATAATTATGCTCGAAGTTTAGTTGACAAATGATCATGTTGGAATTAATGAAATAAACATTACCATTAACAACATCCCTTTTTAAAATAATACATGTGACGCGTTTTATCATTCTGCCAGGTAACTAACAAACATACTCTCTCCCTTAAAACTTTCTGAACTTTCCCTTTTTAGATGTTCAACTAATTTTGTCACTTTCCCTTTTAAGTAAAAAAAATTTGTGGTTCCGTTAATTTTTCTTGCCTCTGCATAAAACTCAACCACACAATTTTTACATTATTAATCTTCGTGCCGGTCAAACTTGACAAAGTTTTAAGGGACGAAGGTAGCATTTGACAAAAATTAAGTTGCAAGGTCAATAACATAATACCCCTTTGTCACTCATAACTTTGTTACTCTCCTTTGTACTCAATTAATCTGAATGGCCTACTACCACATGAAAAAAAATGTTTTCACGACTAGGCCAAACCACCAAACCAAGTTAGAAGTGAGGGGAGAGTAAAGAGTGTAGCAACACCTAAAACTTCCTAGACGGCTTCCTCATCTTTCAAGCTTTCACATGACTTATAAATATCTCCAAAAAATACTACGGAGTACATGTGTTATATTAAAATCGATGTGAAATACTTACGTCATTTTTACAATTTTTATAAACTTTTTCACATGAATTATTTATATACCCGATGTTAAAATAGTGAAACAGGATATTTTAAAATTTACTCCATCCGTTCCATTTAAAGATTCATGTCCACTATTCTCTGGTCAACGTGCATTGTTCTTAATCTTTTACTTTATATATCCAACTTTTATCAAATTTAAATTTTCTTGATCAGGTTTTGTAACGGTTTTAATGTAGTTTCTGAATATGTAAATTTTATTTACGAAAAATAATTCTACTAATGACAGAGATTCGTTAACTTTATGGTGAGTTAAACGTCGTAAACCGTGTGAGAACATTTAAATGGGACAGGGAGTATCAAATATTTTACATCGGTCTATGTGCAACCCATTTTAAAGAAAGAATGGGGTCAAATTTTTAAATAAGGAAAGTTTTTTTAAAATCGGTTAAAACCGATGTACAAAAGTAGCGAAAAAAATACGAGTATAACAGAATACAGATCGCTTATAACCTTGTGATACGCGTCTAGTTGCTTAGGAAGCTTTCAGACCTAGCCAATCTGTTCGACAGAGCAGCGACGACCAACGACCACGGACGGCCAACGACCAGCAGCGGACCCGGAGACCACAGACGGACTCGGCAAGCGCAGTCGCACCTACCGACTACAGCTAGACCCGGCAACTGTAGACGGTCCCGTCGACCAGAGCTGGACCCGCGACCAGCCGCGAATGTGCAGGTGAGCCACAGCGACTGCAGCGCCTAGCGCAGACCGGACGTCGCCAAGATTTCCAGCCAGCAGTTTGAGTATTCCGGTAAGTTTATTGATGGTGTATTTGTGTATTATATGTCTGCTTACTGTCTGGGGCAATCCGAAAAAACAAGTCTTGAATCCTTGAAATGGTTCGAAGTACATTAATTTACATGTTTTTAGCTTGAATTTCAGTCATTAGGTTGTAGTGTAATTGTTAACCATTTGTGATTTTGAGTTTCAATCAGGTTGGAGTGTAATTGTTAACCATTTGTGAATTCGACTCATGGTCATTAGGTTATTCTGTAATTTTATACTGAATAAAAACATTAGCATTTGTTGTTATACTAAATACAGATAACTAACACACAAAATTACACATTTTAGTATGACATACTCATTAAAAAAGTAAAACTGCATAAACATTAATTTCAATATTATAATTAAACTGCATAAAAAATCCGAACATGGCTGGATTCCGAGATGACTTCCGAGGTTGAGGTCGGGTCCATATTTTAAGCTCAAATTACAACCAGTATTGCGGATATGGTTTTTGATATTCAAAAGTGAATAAATCAACAAATGACTACCCGGGTTTGTTGTTTATTTGTTGAATGCAGTACATTTAAAAATCAATTTCATTTGATTTCTGTCCACACGAGCAACATGAAAGCCATTTCTTTGTGAAAAGGTCCTTTTTTGCTTAAAATAATAGCTAATATACTCCGTAGGTAACCGGTATATTTTGTTTAACGGTTAAACTAAATAAATTTTTGTTCTAAATTAGAACAAACTCGTGGTTGGCAAGACCAAACCAAGGTGGCAAGGTGGAAGCTACAGGAGTCTCTGTGGTGGAGGAGGAGAAGGCAACTTAGGAAGAAAAGTTGTCAACCTTCTCTCAGGATTCATTTTGGGCTATGTCTTCTCTCTAGATTGGGATAACATGGTATTCTAATATATTTATTGATGGATAAGTGTACCCGAGGGGGTATTTTATCCGAAGGGTTATTGCGGAGAATAACTAGAGAGACGTCAGGGCAAACAAGTAAGAGAGAGAGTCAAATGTATTAAGTGAACTCAGCGTAGTTTACAATGGGGAAAGGGGCTGCTATTTATAGCAGCAATAAATTCTAGATAGGGACACATGTCAGTGTTATGGTGGTCGAGGGGTCACCTCAACCGAGGTGACACTGGCACTCGCATGTGGCCGCATTAAATGCGGTGGTTGGATGTGACGTTTGTACTTGGTACGGTGATCCAGGTGCATGTGGAGAGGATATTCTGTCGAGGTGGATGCCTTCGGTTGAAGGGTGCTGGGCTGAAGGCTCTTCTAACCGGGGGCTCCATTATGCCGAAGGCTGTATGTGCTGAAGGCTTGGTTTTAAGCCTTGTTCTCCTGTGATGTCTCTTCTCATCGAGGGCTCCTACCTGCCGAGGGCTGTAGGTGCCGAAGGCTTGGTTTTCAAGCCTTGTTCTCTTGTGATGTTTCTGAGCTTGATTCCGTCAGTGGTAGCCTTCGGCCATGGGGCCGAAGGCACCCCTTTGCGTATTGTGGGCTGCTTAGAGCTCCATTTTGCTGGACTTGGCCATTTGGGCCTGTTGGGCCTGATTGTTGTAGTGGAAGTATGTGGGCTGGGGGTCCCTGAGCCATATACTCCATCAGGAGTCCCCCACTCCTTTTGCCGAAAGGTACTTGAGGGAAAAGGAGTAGCTGTGGTGATTGCCCCGAAGGCTCTCCTGTTTTGTTGGATGCCTCATTTTCTCAATTCCCCCACATGTCAAGGGCTGAGGGCTTCTTGAAGGAAGTGCGAGTGTGTTGCTCGCATGTGTTTCTTTGTTGTATTTTGTAAAGTAGTGAGAGATCTGTATTTTTGTGTTTTGCCGAGGGCATTTGTTGACTGAAGGCGTTGTGTGGCTGAAGGCGTTGTGTGGCTGAAGGTATTGTGTGGCTGAAGGCATTGTGTGGCCGAAGACATTGTGTCGAGGGAAGTAGATTGTCGTTGTGATCTTGCCTCAGATTGCTGTAGCTGAGAAATAGAAAATTTTTAACATTTGCGTGTTTTGCCGAGGGGAGTCCCCCAGCCCCCCACTCATTTTGCCTAGAGTTTCTCAAGGGAAACAGGAGTAGAGTGATGCATGCCTTCAGCAGGAGCCGCCGAGGGGTGATGCCTTTTGTTCCACAATGGGAAGATGCCTCGTTAAAAACCTCATTAGGAAAAAACCTTGCGGGAAAAATCCTAATGAGGGAAAAAGAGTACACCGGATGCCCCCAGAATGGAGCAAAAGGAATGCACTCTTCGGCCTTGATTTTTGAGCAGTGGTTGTGTCCATCTGCTGAGGGGATATCCAAGACTAGCCTTAGATCCTGCATGAAAAAGATGAGGAGCTTGTAAGGACCCCCCGTTACCAAATAAAGGTGACGGAGAGGTGCAAGGCCAGGTGGGCCTGTGTGAGACCCCCTGGCATCAAATACAGATGCCGGAGAGATGAAGGCCGAGGGGCCTGTGTGATGGCCCCCGACATCAAATAAAGATGCCGGAGGGATGAAGGCCGACGGGCCTGTATGATACCCCCGGCATCAAATAAAGATACCGGAGGGATGAAGGTCAGGCTGAGGGGCCTGTATGATGGCCCCCGACATCAAATAAAGATGTCGGAGGGATGAAGGCCGATGGGCCTGTATGATAGCCCCCGACATCAAATAAAGATGCCGGAGGGATGAAGGACGAGGGGCCTGTATGATAGCCTCTGGCATCAAATAAAGATGCCGATGGGATGAAGGCCGAGGTCCTGTATGATAGCCCCTGGCATCAAATAAAGATGCTGGAGGGATGAAGGCCGAGGGGCCTGAGTGATGGCCCCCGACATCAAATAAAGATGTCGGAGGGATGAAGGTCGAGGGCCTGTATGATAGGAAATCACGTTAAGGCCAAAACCGTTGTGACGTAGAGTCATGCTGAGGCCGAGAGCCATTGTGATGTTGAGGCCGAGGGTCGTTGTGATGTGGAGTCACGCTGCGGTCGAGGGCCGTTGGTGATGTAGAATCACGTTGAGGTCGAGGGCTGTTGGTGAAATCACGCTAAGGCCAGAACTGTTGTGACGTAGAGTCATGCTGAGGCCGAGGGCCGTTGTGATGTTGAGGCCGAGGGCTGTTGTGATGTGGAGTCACGCTGCGGCCGAGGGCTGTTGGTGATGTAGAATCACGTTGAGGCTGAGGGCCGTTGGTGATGTGAAATCACGCTGAGGCCAGAACTGTTGTGACGTAGAGTCATGCTGAGGCCGAGGGTCGTTGTGATGTGGAATCACGTTGAGGCTGAGGGCCTTTGGTGATGTGAAATCACGCTAAGACCAAAATCGTTATGACGTAGAGTCATGCTGAGACCGAGGGCCATTCTGAATTTGAAGCTGAGGGCCTTTGTGATGTGGAATCAAATTGAGGTCGAGGGTCGTTGGTGATGTAGAATCAAATTGAGGCCGAGGGCCTTTCCTTGATAGTTCCGGGAGTCCTCCGGGTGTATGTTCCTTTTTTCAGGCTTCGACCGAGGGGGTTGATTCCCCGCCTCGGCCGAAAGGGGGTCCAAGTGATCCATCCGGGGGTTCGTCTGTTAGTCCCCCAACGCTGGGCCGTCCCTTGATTGTGCCAGGAGGTCATATGTTAGTCCTCCTGATGTGTGTTCCTTCTTTCAGGCTTCGGCCGAGGGGGTTGCTTCCCCACCTCGGCCGGAAGGGGGTCCAAGTGATCCGTCCGGGGGTTCGTCTGTTAATCCCCCGACGATGAACCGTCCCTTGACCTTGGGGGGTCCCGTCATATATTTACGGCGCGGGCTAGGCTTGGTCGGTTTCCGACGACTGCCGTTTCACACCCAAGTTTGGGGATTTCATCACCTCATCCATTCTTTCAGGCCTGTCGCAGTGCGTTACGCGCCGGCGACGCGATGAGCGTCCCGCTCCAAAAACGCGGGCCTTTTGCAGGCCCCTCGTCTTTAGACACCATCGGCCATACCTGGGCATTTGGCCTCATAGGGGCCGATAAGATGTCTGGGTTGTGTTGTAGTACACTTAAATTCATAGAAATAAGCGGAATACAAGGGGTGCGTTGTTTGACAACGGCTTTGTTAAGATACACGGCTCGAGGCCGAGGGCTCTAGGCCGAGGGGATGATAATGTGCCTCGAGGTCGAGGGCCCAAGGCTGAGACCGACGCCGAAGGCGAGAAACATGATTAGCGAGGTGGTGCTTCTTCGGCTGGGGCTCCTCAAACTCCTCGTCGTCGCTGAACCTCCCGATTTCACGTTTCTTCGTTGCGATGTCCCCTTCTTTTTTATCGGTGTTCTCCCCAGCGTTTTTCCTTGGGGCATTTTTGATGAATTGGTGTAGCTCACCCCGTTGAATTAAGAGTTCAATAGCCTTCTTTAACGAGACACAATCGTCTGTATTGTGGGAGGTGCTTTTGTGGTAACGGCAATACGTGCCGCCTTGGTGGATGGCGTAGATCTCCCTCGCCGACCGAGGGTCCTTGGGGAAAAGGTTCTTCTTTTCCGCATAGTTGAGGATAGTGCTCACCGGGTGCGTGAGGGGAGTCCTCGGCATGTCTAGCCGAGGGCGCCATTGGCGGTCGTTCCGGCCCTGCTGGGTGTGGCTTCCATGGTCCCGACCCCCAGCTGAGGGCGCATTTGGGGTCGGCGTGTTGTTTGTCTTCTTCGAGGGCCGGCCTTCATTCTTCTTGAAGGAGTGGAGGTAGTCAGCATCGGCGTATAGGCTTCCCCGCTGGAGTGGTCTGAGGTATGATCTTGGGGGGTCGGTGATGAGGCTCCGTGCATAGGGGCTGCTGTGGAGAACCCCCTGGAAGAGGACGAGGAGGGTACGCTAGTCGGAACCCTCGATCTCGTTTGTCTCCTTCATCCACTGATCAATGAAGGACCGAAGTGATTCGTCAGGCTGTTGCTCGACGGAGAGGAGGTGGGAGAAGTGCTTTCTCGTGCGCTTCCTTCCGGCGAAATGGGTGAGGAAGCGTTGGGCAAGATCTTGCTAAGAGTCAATGCTGCCCTCGGGCAATCGGTTGAAC